AGTGGCGGCGACCGGCTAGCTGGAACGTCATGTAACCGCCCTCTACAGACCCATTTCTGGGTAGCCAACATCTATACGTGGCGAAGAACTCGAGAGTCAGCGCGGTGTGCGTCTCCTCCCATGCCTCGAACAGTCTATCCCAACCCAGCTGGTGGAATAGGTACCGCACGCTCTCATATAGACCGAGCTGCTCGATCTCGCGGCTGATGAACTTAGATGGCGAAGCTCCCATCCGGTTCAGTGTCCGATGTAAGCTCTCTTCCTCTTGGGAGAAACCAACTCCGTATGGAGGGACAGTGTCATCCTCAACAATAGGCTCGAGGTCAGTAAGCTCCGTGATAGCTCCCTCTGGTATAGGCGGTCGGGTAAACTTCGGGCGCCTGTCTTTGTGACTCGTGGGGGCCATCTGCAAAAAGGGAAGCAGCATATTCGACTAAGTTCACACGAGTCAACAAATAACGAAGAATCATGTATCACCTACATTCGGCCCGAGTCGGAATAAATCTGATCCGTCGGACCGAAATGAGCGTGAAAAATCTCTGTCCGAAGGGTGTGGTCCGACCCTGACCAAGGCTGGTCCGCCGGACCGAAAAATTTCGCGGAATGATGGATTTCGGTGCTGGTCCGGAGCTGACCGTGGCTGGTCCGCCGGACCAGCATCACTTGCGCATTCGTCTTCTTCGCGAGTCTCGGTCCGCCGGACCAAATCTGGGTCCGCCGGACCGGGACTGGATTTCGCATCTTCCGCCATTTTCGAGCTTCCAAGCTCGAAATCGGACCAAATCTGTCCCGAAAATTCATAGATCCCGACTAGTCTAGGCCTATCATGCATGAATCTAGCCTTAAAACCTTGAAAACCTAGAAATCTAGGAGATCCGAGCGTTACCTCTTCGGTGGAATTTCGAAAATAGGAGAGCGAGAGAGAGAGAGAACGCGAGGGTCGGGGGAGAGAGGGGCAAGCTTCCGGCGAGGTGAGCACGCCGGCGACAATGGGTGGCGGCGCGTCGAGCGGAGTTGACGGCTGTGTGCTCCGGCGGAGTGAACGAAAGAGAGAAGTTGGTCCGAGGCTTCTTGGTTCGGCGGAGTGGATCTCTCCCCCGGACTTACCTTTATGCGACGTCTCTTTGGTCAGCCGCTGAGTGACTCTTGGTCCGGCTGAGTGGATGATCAGATTGCATAGTCCGCGTTTTCGGTCCGTGTCGACGGAGCTGAGTGCGGTGTCCGCGGTCAGCCGGACCAATTTCTGGTCAGCGGCTGACCGGACGGTTCTGCACCTCTCCTGGTCCGTTTCTCTTCCCTGGTCCGCCTGTCTGTGTTCGTGTCGGAGTGACTTGGTCCGCCGGACCAAGAGCTGGTCCGGGGCTGACCAAGTCACTTTGCCCAGAATTTTCGCCAGAATTTTCCTCTTCTCCCGTGTATGTTCCTGTACTAAAATCCCCAGCTGTAAACCGTAAGGAAATATTAAGCGCAATCTATATTTTGCGGGGTCAAGAATGGCGAAAGGCCTTGAATGGATTAGCGGGTGAAAATAGATAAAACGTAGTGAACGCAAGAGTCGACGAGTGCGATCATACCAGCACTAATG